TTGAGTCAGTCTGAATATAAAATATAAAATAACATTTAATTAAATAAATTGAGAAACACATAAATAAATAACAGAAATTACAAGTTTCGGCTACCAGATTAAGCCCTCTTCAGATACAGTTTTACATGGATTTGATATACAATAAGTTCTCGTAAAAAACGCATAATAAATCTTGTTCGGATGTAAAAATCTACGCCGTTCACATGCCGTTCACATGGAAATCAAAAGACATGTGTAAATTACTTTAAATTTTTTCCATAGAAAATGGTTGTGTATGGTATGTCGGCATAAAGCGAACATTGTGCGACAATTATAATGTATTTTCTTACACATCCGATTGTCGATACAGATCAACACATACTGTAATTTCTGTTATTTATTTATGTGTTTCTCAATTTATTTAATTAAATGTTATTTTATATTTTATATTCAGACTGACTCAATCTTTCATGTTTCACCAATTTTCGGACTATAATTTTTACGTATTGACTCTTACTTCGCCTTTTATTTATTATTTTTATGTTTATTTGTATTATCAACATAATTTTGAGTTACATGACACTTTATGTTTTATGATATTGGATTTCTAATGTTAATTTCAAGGAACTTTGAAAAAAATGTACATGAATCAACAATATTACTTTCGTGTTTGAACGAATTATTTTGCTTCAGTTATAAAGTATTAAAATTAGAAATACAAAAATCATTCAAAGTTATTACTGAATAATGAATCTACACTATTACTTTCATAAAAAAATAATTTCTTTTGAATATGCAACGTATCACAGTTATATAAAGTACTCAACATAAATTAAAAATATTTAAAAAAATAAATTATATCTTGGAATTATATTTTTATCAATAAGATTTTGTAAGTCCTTTTTTTATTGGCAAGTAACGACATTTTTTTTAATAAGGTCGAATCAACCGAATAGATTTTAAATCATCTTAAAAAATGAAGAAATCTAATTCTAAATCTAATTCTAATTATCTTGAAATCTGTTTATATATCAATATTATTACTATCTTCATTATTTGGCATTGTATCGTCATATTTTATCATCAAATTTACTGAAAATTTTCTCTGTGCATCTTACAATTGCTAATTTTTTAAAATAATATCTGTGCAGCTTTATAAATACATAATATAATATGCAAAATTATAACAAATCTGGAATTCATAAAAAGTGACATAACTCGCAATATTATCAACACTTATATTTATCTTGATCTTTGATTAAAATAACTAAATTCAAAATAAAACAGATTTTCTTCAAATCTTTAATCAACAAAACTATCTTAATTCTAAATATTCTTTAAGATTCATCTTCTTATTTACAAAAACGATACAATTCAAAATGTGTCATTCTTATAGAAAGTATTATCTCTTTGAAACCTTAAGAACGATAGAAGTGCTATTTGATGAATTATGAAGTCAAGTTAGTTTACCTTCGATAATTGATAGAATAAGCTTTATCTAATTCATTCATGGTGATAATTAAAAAATTACATTTTTTTTAAGTTGTATCACTTTTGAAGTAAAAAAACGATATATGTTAAATTATATATATAATTGTTTTGGTAGTACAAAATCTGCAATGTTTGGCTAGGAAGTTTGACGTTTCCTAATGTTGCCTAAATGCCTTGACTTGGAAGGATTATAGTCTTTTCTTATCCTTACAGATATTTTCAATTACGTAGTAGCAAAAAGATACAAAAGGCCTTTTGCAAATTGAAAAATCTCTGAACCACCCAATTTAGATTGACCATAGACCCTATCGATGAATGTAATTGGCACTTCCCCTATTGTATAATTGAATTGTCTAACTCTGACTATCATTTCCATTTGGAATACATATCCTTTAGATACACAGGATTGTATGAGCTTTTCCAATACATCCTTTTTATAAAGCCTAAAATTATAAAATCACATATTAAAAAACAAATTGGAGACTGTTTCATGAACATTTTGTAAGAACAGAACTAAGTCTATAAAAAAATTTACCTAAAACTACCCGTCAAATCACTTGCGCCAGGTCTCAATAGAATCTGTGTTAAAAAATTTGCACCTCTACTGACTAACTTTCTTTTGAAATCCCAGCCGTAAACACCACCACCTTGTGCATATCTCGTACCACTGACTACGTCCAGGTTCAGATATCGTTGTAATTCAGCCATTTTTGGAATAAATTTGGGCTGAAAATTAAAGAATGTGTTTTATAGAAACGCTTATCATTATTATACTTTTCCATTTATTCATTAATGCAATACATACATGATGAGATAAATCAGCGTCCATGATAACAATAAAGTTTCCAGTTGCATATTTAATTCCATGCATGTAAGCAGTTCCTAATCCCAGTTTTTTCTCTCTCGGCTTTAAGATTATTTTATCGTCGCCGTAGACACGTTGCAATTGCTTAGCCATATTCAAAGTTCCATCTGGAGAACCATCGTCTATCACAATAATTTCATAGGCAAGCTCACTGTAACATTGTAAATTACAACAAAACTCTAACTGCACGGCTCAAATTTATCTATTTTTAATTTATTTCATTAATTATACATGAATTTTGACCAATTCTAGGTTATGCAAATGTCTAGTTACCTCTCCTCCATATATTTCACAATGAGCCATATTATTATCGGCAAATTTTCCACTTCATTATAAGTGGGAAGTAAAATCGAATACTTGTCATTCTTGCACAACTCGTTTATATTTTTCTTCACCTCTTCCTTATTTACCATTTTGATACAGCTGTTGACAAGTTTACAAGGGAGTCGACGTGCCGGAAAACAAACTCCAAACTTCAAGTCCTTCAACTCGACAATTGGTAAGACTGTCAAAAACAGATGTGCAGACGCGCACGATTATAGCGACACTGCTGATAGTGCTGATATTTAAAACCGCGATTTTCAAATCAATAAACTGTACATTTAGCAGAGTATTAAATTTTATATAATTCTACAAGGAATTTTATGAAGAAAGAAAGACAGGGAGCTAAAAAGAATTATTTAAAATTATAATATTAAAATAAGAGCGGTAATATGTGTAAATCAGTTAAGAATGTTTTTAAATAATTTTAATTAGTTGATTATGTTGAAATAAAAGTATGTTCGTCTAATAATTCTCTCTAAAAATATCGTTGAATAAATGCAATATAAATAGAATTTATTACCGTAAAATGTAAAATATTTATACACAGCAAAATATTCATCTTATCTTTTGTCGGAAAAAAGTGATGAAAAGTTAAATAGAACATAATTAAGTAATTATGCAAGCAAAATATAATTGAGAAGAATATGGAGAGAATAGGAATTTTCGAGAAATTAACATAAATATTTACATAAAAAAACATTTAATTTGTAAAGTGTAGCGTTATAGATGTATTATATGCAGGGTTGAGTAAATTAACTTTTTTTTTAACTAAGTTAAGTTAAAGTTAATAGCCTCGAAAATTTAACTTAATTAAAATACAAGTTAATCCATAATGAAATTAATTGAATTAAAAGTTAAGTTAATAAAAAGAAGTAATTGAAAAATTAAAAGTTAAATTTGGTCCGAACGGACAACAAAAAAAAGAAAAAGAAAAAGTTTGATCATTTTACATAACTTTTTTTCTCGCATAATTTTTATTAAAGAATCTGGTTATTTTTTTTCACAAGTAACGATTATACAATATAAAATTACTAAATTATATACTCATTATCCTCTCGCATTGTGTTTGAGGATTGACTTCAAAAAAATCAAATTAAAAGTTAATAGTTATTGATAAAATGTAACTAAATTAAGTTAAAAAGTTAAAAGTCTAAAATGTAACTAAGTTAAATTAAAATTAATTAACTTTTTAACTTTTTAACTTAACTTTTATCTTTTTAACTTCGCACTACCCAACCCTGATTATATGTAATATTGCCTTCTTTTGTACTACAATTCGATATATTTTATTTACTCTATTGTTATAGTATATATATTTATTTCTATATAATCACACCACACATACTATTTCTCTACTAAAATATTAGAAAACTATCTTTATGGAACTATCTGCTCCATTTTATCGGAGTTATCAAATTTGTAAACAGATAATGTCGAATTAATAAGATATAATGATAAAAGCGTTTCTTATTCCTCGTATTAATTGGGCATTTTGTAAATTTTGTTATAATTGCTCGCTGTTATATTGTTATATAAAATTTGTCGCATTTCCCCATTGGCCATATATACTATTTATCTATTTCTTGTAATAGTTCTATGATCACCGGTATCAGTTATCGCCTATGAACATTCTGCAAATATCCGCAAAGATGCTCTCACGCAGACATGTTCGTGTACGCATTCGCACACAAATATACATATTTCATATATATATTTGGTCCATTGGCCGTTTCCGCCGCGTGCGACAAAGGTCGGCTAACCAGTAGTGCCGGTCGATTAAATTTTGGCACCCTGGACAAAATACTTGGCAAATTACAAACATTAATTCTCATAATTTAATTACCTCATCAACTTAAAATATACGATTAATAAGTGTACATCACATTGTAAATGCATATGTAAAATTAATAAAATAACTGGCATATCAATTTTTTTTCATATTGTATGTTAATTTTATCGAAAAATAGAAAAATTCTAATATATAAAATGTATCCGTTTTTGACCTTTATAAATATTATATATTTATTTTTATGAATTACATCCATTGTGTAAATGTTTGAATTTTACATGCTTGATGATATAAACGCAAGTTATACAAGTTTTCTGAAACGTTAGACATTCTTATATCTTTCTGACAAAAATTGGAAGTTATGTGTACGGTTCGATATTTTAAATATCAATTTCCATATCTTTTCATATGTTTATTCCGAGGGGTTAAATCTTCCGGACGGCACTGTCGGTAATGCACCCCTCATCCCGCAGAGCAGCGTGAGTGTTCACGCCGACGATCCCCACCGCTGACTCCACCGCTGCCGACCTCGAGATAGCCGAGGAACAGCCGCCGCTTCGAAGCAAACGACGCCGCACTCTACGATCGGTCGTTCGTGGAATCGGAGTGCTCGTTCGTCCGTTCTCATCTGATCTGGTCGGCGTGCATTTGTGTCCCTGCGAATTCACATACGACAGCGTCGGTACGTGAGATCCGTGAGATCGGGGTCGCGATTTTTTCACCCTCCCGAGGAGACGACGCTCCTCGATGAGAGAGGAAATCTGCGAAAACGAGCATCGGGGCCGATTTTGCAAAATCGCTAGTGAATGGTTGAGTGTATGTGTGTGTGTATGCGTGTGAGTGCGTGCATGCCTGTGTGCGTGTGTGTGGTGGATCGGCAGTGATCGTGCGGTATGTGTGTGTGTGTGTGTGTGTGTGTGTGTGTGCCGATTTGTGGGCGATTTAAAATGCGCCACCCTCTCTCCGCCAGCGGAAGCTGAGAATTCGACAAGACGCGATCATCGATGGTCGCCGATGGTCGCCGATGGTCGCCGGACTTTGAGGAATTAAATGATTAGCCAAGAATTAATTTTTACGACAATCGATTACGAGAAGAGCGAACTACAGCTAAGATCTAGGGCAACGATTCCATTTGCGTCTTTGTGCTAATCGTTTTCTCAAACTTGAAAGACCCAGCTAGCACGGTGTGTCTCTCTGCGTGGATCTTTTTTTTTTGTCGGTTGCTCCGTTTCTCACATGGTTCTCATATGATATTTCGTTCTTTTTGCCATCGACTTTTTGTCACGCCGGGATTCTCTCGGCGGTCAACTCTTCTTCTTCTTAACGCGTCCGCGACTTTTTTTTCGCGCAAGAAAGATCAGCCGTTCAGCAGCGTGAGCGAGTTTACGACTCGTCTTTTCTCACGGACGAGAGATACCCTACGGCGAGTATAAACTGCGTCTTCGTCGCTTCTGGATCTTCAGTCATCCGCGTAAAATTTTTTCCCGCGTCTCGTTGCATACAAGCCGAGTTACATGATGTAACGACGGTGACGTAAAATGCGGGCGTTACGTCTCGATGCGACCCCGCGAGATACGATCGACTTCCGCGAGAGACTCATCGTCCGATGTGTCGGATCAGAAAATAATTTGAAACGGTGGGTCCGTTGCGGGGGAGGACGTGAGGAGAGATCGTGAGGATTTAGCGGGGGTCCACGGACACCATCGCGGCCGCCTGGCTCGTCTGGCTAGCCCCGAGTTCCGG